GCACCTCAACGTCCTTCTTGTAGTGAGGGGCCCAACACTGAACACAGGATTCGAGGTGCGGCCTCACCAGTGCCAAGTCCAGGGGCACGATCCCTGCCCTGCTCCTGCTGGCCACACCATTGCTAATACAGGCCAGGATGCTGTTGGCCTCCTTGGCCACCTGGGCACACCGCCGGCTCATGTTCAGCCGGCTGTCAACCAGCACCCCCAGGCCCTTTTCCGCTGGGCAGCTCTCCAGCCACTCCTGTCCAAACCTGGAGTGTTGCGTGGGGTTGTTGTGACCCAGGTGCAGGACCCGGCACTTGGCCTTGTTAAACCTCATACAGTTGACCTTGGCCCATCGATCCAGCCTGTCCAGATCCCTCTGCAGAGCCCTCCTACCCTCCAGCAGGTCAACACTCCCACCCAGGTTGGTGTCATCTGCAAACTGACTGAGGGAGCACTCGATCCCCTCATCCAGATCATCAGTAAAGATATTGAACAAGACCGGCCCCAGAACCGAGCCCTGGGGAACACCGCTTGTGACCAGCGAGAATCCCTCAATCCAAAGTAAACAAATGGGAAGCACTTCTCAAATGTTATGTAACACTGGAAATTAACATTCTTTGTACATCAAAGTTCGGTGAGCAGAAATGAAGTCTACACTCAAATATACTAACCCATCATTAATCATCCTTTCCTGTGATGACCAGAATTATTTGTGACACAGAGGTTTTACCTTTGCCCCTGTCTTTATGCCAACTATTGTTATCTTTTTTGCAATAGCCAAAGCAAATGCAAGCCATTGCAGTATGGATAATTTTTTGTAACGGGCTGCAACCACTAGCCTGGCTCACACCAACAGTGGTGCAAATGGGAAATACCCCAGTTCCCTTAATGGAGACCTTCCTGGCTTGTGAGACTTCTCAATGTGTACAGCTAGATATAATTCTCAATGGGCAGATGTTGTTAGAAGGCTGTATTGTATTTGAACCTCCCCTTCAGGATGGGGGACTGTAACAATGAGGTTACGTTCAGGAAAAACTTCTTTGTGCAATCATTTTATCATTGCACATTTTAAGCAACTATGACCAATGACTTACTCTCATGTTCCTACTGCAGACACGGACCATACAGCACTGCATGTTTCATCTTGATGACCAACTTACTATCTGAGTTACTGTCCTGAAAGTGAGAGGTTATCTATCCTACTTTCAACCTCACAAAACCTTCCACTCCTAGTGGTTTCATAAATTCACAGAATTTAAAGGGTAAACAGCATCATTTTAAAGACTTAACTCTTCATCAAGGCTGGTGTCATGCATAAAGTCTATCAGTAGTAATTATGCATTTGTTTCCAAACTATCCGTGATGACACGTAGGCTAAAAGCAAACCTGTGAGGCCTTCATTTTATACACTCTTCTGATGATGACGCTTTCTAGCTATCATTACTTCTTGGTATCTGCCAGTCAAACATTTCTGAATCATAGAATCGTTTAGGTTGTGAAAGACCTTGAAGATCATCAATTCCTATGAGCTAATTTAACTGTTTTCCAATAGGAAAAACATTGAGTCCTGTACAGTCCATGTTGGCAGGGACTTAACACTTCCACGTTCTTTTAAATACCTCCAGGGACGGTGACTCAACCAGTACCCTGGGCAGCCTGTTCGATCCCATGTACTCTTTACTTCATTTAGCATAACTCGATTACGAGAAGGTGCTAAATAAAGTAGTTTATAAAACCTGCTTTTTTTATAGACACTTATTGACCGTTACCAATCACAGTGATAGTAGCTGACAAGATTTACTTGACAAACTTAGTTTTAAACTGTAAGAGAGCAGATTTATACTAGATGTAAAGATGTAAAACTTTTCATAATGAGGGTGGTGAAACACTAGCACAGGTTGCCCAGAGAGGTGGTAGATGCCCCATCCCTGGAAACATCCCAGGTGAGGTTGGACAGGGCTCTGAGCACCCTGATCTAGTTGAAGATGTCCCTGCTCACTGCAGGGGGTTGGACTAGATGGCCTTGAAAGGTCCCTTCTGACCCAAAATATTCTGTGAGTCTATGGCTCTATGAAAATACACATTGCTTAGGAAATAGCTCAACGATTCCAATATTAAATAGTTCAAAACATATAGAACAAAATTTAATTCAATTCTAAGTACAATAAATGCATCAGTCAAGAAAGAGAAATAATGCCTTAAATAAAGACAACACACATTTTCCTAATTTAGCTATGATTATGAATATTCAAGAAAGAATAACCATTACTGTTGTAATAAGCAAGTGGAAAAATAGCAGCTGCATAAAAATAATCCAAGATGTTTAACCAATACATGAGTGCAGTATCACTCTTAACATGTCAATTATACATACTTTTAAAAATGTACGCTTGCCACAGCTTTATAAATCTAATCGTAATAAACATATAATAAAGGCTGGAACAGGAACTCCACGTTAGCACAACCAGTGTTCATAGGTAATGCAGTCTATACACTGAATAATAATCAGGATCTCCTCAAAGTTAATCAGTTTAACTTAATTAAAACTTAAAATAGAGTTGACTTTTTTCCCCTTACCTTTTCAACAGTGTCTATAGAAGAAAGTAATTTATTCCTGTCAAATTACTTACTGAAAAATTACACATCTGTCTCCCAATATTCTAAGGTATGCTGTTAATGCACTGACTTCCCTCCCATGCCTTCAGATATCCTAGAATTTCCCAGAATACCCACGTGGACATGTGATTTGCTGGGCATGGGGAAGTCTCTTTCATCCTTAAAGAAAAAAGATGTTTCCTTTTTAACTGAAGATATCCAGACTTCGGTTCTCAATTTACTAGCACATCTGTGAAAATTTTTCCATGAAGTTGAGTTTCAGATAATGTAGCACAGCACCAAAGTCATGATTTGTCTTACTGAAAATAGTGTACCTTCATAAACTGCTTCATAAAAGTCTTGCTTAAAACTTTTTCCAGCTGTGAACTTGTAAATTCAAAATGGTTATGTTTGTTGGAAAAAAATCACCACCCTTATTGATAATTTTGTACACATCCACAGAACACTGCACTACATTGCCTCTTACATTAAACTTGGTCGATGCCACTGAGTAGTTCTGTTGTTATGGTTGACATAGTAAGTCCGCCCCAGGTTGTCCACCTTTTCTTCCCATCCAGGAGGCAGTGGAGGAGGTGGTAACTCCTCCTGACGCTGAGATGCGGAGTCATTGGAATCAACCACATCCCATCCATGCTTAGGAATGAAAAAAAAAAAACAAATCAAACAAACAAAATTTAAAGTTTTAAAGTTAAAGAGAAGTTACTTCATTGTTGCTTACATTACCATATAGGTGCAGATTCTGAAAATTTTCCAAAGAGAAGTTCAAAATTACTTAACCGTAAACCGTATCGAAATAGAATAAACTCCATGGTGACAGTGTGCGCCTCATTTCAATGACAAAAACCTCCTAAAACCCCATCAGTCTATTACAATAGGGATTCCCAAACGTATTTGGGTAGTTGCTTGTTCTAGCAGTGGCCAAGTGCAGATTCCCAGTCAAGAAGCTAAACAGAACAAACTGCTAACTTTTGAACTCAAGCTGTGACCTTTTCGTTATGGAGGATAATAATTTGCTTTTCCTTTCTATTCCCCAGCTGTTATTGAACTGAAACCTAAAAGCATTTCATTACTATTGACTTACTGGAGATGTCACTTCACAGGTCATTGTCAGAGCCTTGTGGCATTATCTTACATGAGTAAGGAGGATCTTACTCACAAGAGTCACAAAACTATTTTTTACACCAAAACAGACACTCAGCAATGTTCAAAAATAGTGGGACTCTGGGGAAAAGAAAGTGCCACTACACGCATACTTCTGAAAATCTGTTTCTATATGAGAAACTCTGGCCACATACACTTTTCAAACTCATCTTTTATGAAGACCCTATCTATAAATTCAAGTTAATAATTAAGACACCAATTCCAATACATATTTTATATGTATAAGAAACTGTTGACTAAATGCCCATAATTCAATAATTGTAAAAGAACCCAATGAACCTTTAAAACTCTTCGTACTTCAAGTATGAAAGAAAATGCAGATTACATTTAGAAATTTGGTCATTTTTATGAAACTAAGATCTAGACAGTATTCTGGTTTTTATATATACACACACATATAAGAGTAGATTTATTTGTGTGTTATCTATATACATCTCCACATTAACAAGTTTTTTATATATAACAAACACACAGTTGAGAGACAAAAAAAAAATTGTTTTTCAATCTGTAAACTCTCTTTGTAGCAAAAACAGTCTCAGAACCCTGTCTCAAGATCCAGAGAAAGCACAGTTTTGGCTGAGTTTTGGCAACAACTGGTGAAGAACCAGCTCAGCTGCCTGGGTACACCTTCCGAAAAGCAATCTCAAGAGCACAGACATAAGGCTGGGGATGAGAGCCCTGACTCCCAAGTTACAGATGACTGCTACACACTATTAGTAAGGCAAACTTGGGCTGACATTCACTCTGTTAGTCCTAATTACAGCTAATTCTTAAACTGGATGATGGTTGGTAAGAGTGCCAAGAAGTCTTTAAACCTGCTGTGCTTGCATGTGTTTTATTCTCTGCAAAGTCAATGCTGCCAGGGAAACAAAGAAAATGTTATAGCACCTGTTTTGAAATTGCCTTTGAAGACGGGGTACCTAATACAGACCATTATGTTCATGAATTACTTGGACAGACTTTCTGAATTCTTCTACTTGGCATTACTTCCACTTCTACTTGTTCACAAACTGAGTCAGAGAGACTTTAGAATTCATTATGGCAGTTGAAATACTTTGAAATACTTGCAATGGTTGAGAAAACAGAAAAAAACCAAAAAACAACCCGGGAGGTATGTGTGTTGGGTGGGAGAATCAGCTGCTATCAACACTGCTACCAGGGTTTTATCTTTCAAAGGTACAACTTCCTCTACAATTATAACTGAATCCTTCCACAAGCATTAAGCCTTACCTCAGATTCATCTCTTTGATCACTGTTTTCTTCTTCTTGGCCACCATTTTTAGGCATATATGCCATCTTCAGCCTCAAGAAACCCTTTACACGAGATTTGTGGCTAGAAGACAAGGAGGTACATTTCATTCAGCAACCCTTAAATAGCTGCAAATAACAAACCTTGAAGTAAGAAATGTTTTAAAATACAAAGGTCCTCTCCCTCACCTTCTTGGTCTGAGAAGGAAATCCTTAAACGTGTATGGCCTTTCCATGGTTGGGTCTTCAGTCTATAAGCATTTAAGAAAATTGCAAATTAAAGGGCTTGCTCACAAGTATAGAGACATATAGAGAACATTCACATCACAGATGAGGTAGAAATGCTAGAGAAGATGTTTAAATAACGAAGTTACAGCAGGCAGATGTTACCATCGGCTGTCAATACACAGTTGCAGAAGCAGTCCACTAGATGTCTCTGCAAATCTCAGTGATGGGCTGAACCAAGTCTCGTTTGTAAGCGTACGCAACATTCACAATTCAGAAAAAGGTGGAAAAGACCAATTAAATCCCTTCCAACTTTCTCCAATAACTCAACAGCAGTGTCAGAAAAGGTTGCATCCATTTCGAAGCAGTCGGTTCTCTGCACATCAGAAAGCGATGAAAACTCCTCCTCAGTTGGCTTTCATTTTTTCTTTCAAAGCAGTTGAGACTTTCAAAAATAACTGAGACATTGAAATCCTTTATGAAGTACATAAGTAATATTATCAGCCTGACAGGTTACATCTTCTGACTTCCACTTAATTGTAACCTTCACAGAAAGTTTTCAACATTTAAAGATTTATTACATGAGAATTTCAGCTTTCTTATCAAATAAGTTACATCCTTCATGTCTGCGAGAACATAGATGCTCCAAGTACAAAATTAGGAATTTAAAAATTACAAGGTAAATAACAGAATCAGAAATCCATATACATACTCAACCTGTTGATTGTCTGGGGTACTTTATTCTAATCAATTGTACGATTTGGGCCGACAAAATTGGAAGCATGAACCGTGTTACACTGAAAGAATAAATAAGCACATTACCATACACACTCCAGTAAGACCAGAGATCTAGTGCCTCAGATGAACACCAAACTTTCTCAAAATGAGCACAAAGATAGTGGGTACTTCTCAGAATGTTGCAGCCATCTGCCATCTACTAAAAAAGTGATAGTATACCTGTAAATCCCTTCCCAGCCCTATCCCTACAAACAGGAATACTTTTTGAGTCCAATTCTTTAACTAAATCTTTCTAAACAGAGAATAATCTAACTCCTAGACTACTATTCCTTAAAAGTTTTGTTGTCTGTTGTATTTCAAAGTCAATAAATAAGAATTTAAAAATCAATCCCAACTCATTATCTCAGATACTCCATCATACACCATACAGACTTTCTTTCTGTCCGCTCAATCTTTGAGACAGACATCCCATTTTTTCAGAGATAGCACACTTTAACAAAATCAACAGGACATCAAAGCATGCATGATTAGGAATTACTGCTTTTTAGTACTCTACTGTAAGTAATGTACATAAAATAAGATGCTGTATATTTTAACCAAATTTTGTAGATAGTAATTAGATAGTATTAGAGAAAACAGGGATTTTGACAAACAAATCAGCAGTACAGCTAGAATGTGAAAGCAAACATTCATTAATAAATACACCACAATGTCACTTATTAATGTACTGGGAAGGATGAATGAGGAAAATACCAATTAGAACACAAAGATATACAGTGTGTTTCCCCAAGGATCAAATTAGTACACACACCTTAATAAGCATAGAAATAAATAATATTACAGAGTATGAGAACACACCCACAGGCAAGTACCTAAGCACTCTGTGGAGACATTGCTACATTACAGCTATATAAAGAACGATTGTTCTGAGGTATGTCTTGTGAGTTTTCCCAGAGCAAACTTTTTGGGGAAAAAGTGGCTTCTGGAGCTGAAGAAATTTTCTGTGAAGATGGAGAGTGAGGAAGGATTTTGTACAGGAATCACATTCACTTTCTTGTGAGCCTAGAAGAAAATGGGAAGTTCCGGACTACAGAATTTCATCATTTTAGCATAATGGAATTTATTCTTCAATGGCAGTCAAGTAGCTGAGCCAGGAAATTTTACAATCTTGGATTTTCTATGTAAAGACAGTAGAAGACTTTAAAACTATTTGGAAAATTTTAGCATTCCACTTAAATATGAGCTAGAAAGAGATATGCACACTCATGTTCTATGTCAATCCCCAGTGAGAGGACAATAGAGCTGTCCTCTTCCTACAGAATATGGAAGGAAAACATAAAGCTGCTAATTCCTCAAAACAGCTCACAGAAAGTGTGTGACATGTCTACAGCTCAATCTCAAATCCTGTTGATGCTTCTTAGTTATTAGAAATCACGTTTACTTAAAAGGAACTTAAAAATTCTACGCAACTCTGTAAAACAGGCATGCACTAATACATCCCTCATCATTCTATATTTCACAGCACATTTTTTGCAGGACACATGTAGCTTAGTGCTGGAGGGCTTTTTCTACAGTTATGTACATGCTATTTACATAATATTTGTGCATACATATACACGTAAATGGCAATATACACACAAGTATGGATAAAATAATACTATACAATACAGCTCACATGAGAACGGAATGATACATTTTTCGTCAGAATACATTTCCGATCTTTCCATTATATTTTTCAACTATTACAGTTTATAAGCCAACAATAACAGTGTTATGACTCAAGATCAACTATTACAGACATATCTAAATAAGCATCACTGTGAAAGTCATTACAAAGCCATTTTCCTCCTATAATAACATCCATCAATAGCAAGAAGTCAAATTCAGGCAAAAATATCAACAGTCATGCTAAAATTGACACCTTATTTTGATGTAAACATTGTCAATAACTTCCACCATTCCTATGTTCACCCATTCAAATACACAACTTCTCCAAGTTCACATAAGTGAGATTAACATGTACAACATTTTAAAAAGATTAACTACATCCAGAACTCTGTTCAATGTGAGTCATCCAAAACATTATATAATAAAATTTCAGAAAACACTTATACCAAGCATAAAAAAATCACTGTATATAAACATATATACATGTAGAATTTACTAGAAAACTTTGTGAAGTAGAAAGTGTATTTTTACTATTTACAAAGAAGATGAAAAACAACTGCAGTGTTTCATACTTTTTTCTGCCCTGCGACCTTTAACTTCCATTCTTTTATCAGTGATTGAATTCAGCTTTGAAGCACAGTGTAAAGTACAATATGAATACAAAAAGACAAAATAAATGCTTTTTTTGGCACAAATATGTTCTGCAAAGCTCATTTTGGATTTTTGTCTACTAAGTGAAAAAAAGAAAGACAATACAGCAATATTGAAAACAGAAACTCAAGCAAAGCTACCCATGAAATAAAGAATTCATTTTTACTTATCTTTGAAAAACATTTTGACTGAGGCTGTTGCAGCATGGGGTGGTAGTACTATAGACATATACCTAGCATCTTGTAAAGTAAGTTTTCTAAGCAATGTATAGGCTTTCTCTGCTGTGGGCACAAACAGGTTAACTTCAAGCTTCATACAATTTGAATTGTCATATGGACCTTCTTTGTTCCATCACTTCACCTTCTTTGATGGCAGGTTCTGTGTAAAATAATTCCTCATTAAATACTCAACAACACCGATGTAATTTCAAAGAATCTCGATATTTAGTGTCTTTTTCACTACAGCATCCCTACAGAATCTTCAACCCAGCCCAATGTCTTCAGCTTTTTCAGCAGTTCCCGATAGAAGGAGATTTGATGGGGCCCATCAACTGAAAGCAGTCACAGA